TTGTCCACTTCTTTAGGAGGTTCACTGTTTTCCTCTGTCTGCAGGTTGAAAGGGTGTTATAGATTTTAATAAGACCTTTGTCTGATGTGTCATTACTAAAAATTCTATCCCAGTCTGTGGGTTGCCTTGTTACCCTCTTCTTATTAAATCCCATTTCTCAATTTCCAGTTCACCTGTGTGTGTACCCTTCCCTATTGTGGTGAGCCTATGTATTATCTGAGCCAATGATCTTAGGCTTGTCCCGATTCCTTCCTTGATGGTCCTGATGGTTTGAGGTTTTACTTCTATGTCTGTGTTCCACCTTGATTTTTTTCTTGTGCATGGGATGAGGTAAACATCTTGTTTCATTTTTTTACATGAGGATATCCATAGTTTCCAGCACTACTTGTTAATGAGGGCATCCACTTCCCAATTGATGCTTTGGGGACCCTTATCGAAGATCAGTTGTCTACATGCGGATGGTTTTACTTCTGGGATTTCTGTTCTTTTCTACTGGTCTGAGTATCTGTCATTATGCCAGTACCACACTGTCTTGGCCACCATGGCTGTGTAGGTGTTAAAATTAGATAAAGTGAGTCCTCCGACTTTGTCCTTCTTCTTGAGGAGTTATATGCTAATTCTGGCCTTCTTCCCTTTCCATATGAACTTGGTGGTGAGATTTTTCCAATTCTTTGAAGTGGGTTGTTGATATTTGAATTGGAATAGCGTTAAAATTATAAAGTGCTTTGGGTAAAATTGACATCTTTACTACATTGAACCACATAGTAAATCCACTATGTCCAATCCATGAGCATAGGATGCTCTTCCATTTGTGGAGGTTGTTTTTGATTTCCTGTCATAAGGTCTTGTAATTTTCCTTGTAGAGTCCTTCAGGTATTTTTGTTTGTTAAATATATTCCTAGGTATTTCAGTTTGTTCTTGGCTTTTATAAGGGTACTGCCTTCTTGATCTCTTCCATCGTCCTGTCCAATGTATATAGGAAACTTATAGACTTCTGTTTCTTGATGTTGTATCCTGACACTTTCCATATTCCTCTATTGCTGTAAGTACTTCCGTTGTGGAGCTTTTGGTGTTTCCAATATACAGGATCATGTCGTCTACAAATAGTGATAGTTTCACCTCCTCCCCTCCTATTTGGATACTTTTAATGTCTTACATTTTTAGCTAGGACCTCCCGTACAATACTGAATAGAAGTGGGGACAAGGGTCATCCTTGTCTGGTACCTTTTTTCACTGGGATTGTTTTTGTCTTTTCTCCATTGACTCTAATGTTGGCTTTTTGTAGATAGCTTGGATTATCTTGAGGAATTTTCCTTCCAGTCATATCTTCATGAGTGCCTTAATTAGGAATGGGTGTTGGTTGTTGTCAAATGTTTTTCTGCATCTATCAATATTATCATGTGTTTTATATACTTTTTCTTATCAATGTGGTATATAATATTGCTGGATTTTTGGATGTTAAACCATCCCTGCATCCCTGGGATGAATTCTACCTGGTTGTGGTGGATGATAAGTTTTATATACTTTTGTATTCTATTGGCCAATATTTTGTAAAGGATTTTTGCATCCATGTTCATTAAAGATATCGGTCTGTAGTTCCCTATACTTGTGGGTCTTTGCCCTGTTTGGGTATCAAAATTATGCTGGCTTTGTAGTTTGGGAGTTTGACATCCTTTTCTATCCTCTGGAATACTTTGTGGAGGATAGGTGTCAACTCTCCCCTGAATGCTTGGTAGAATTCCCCTGTGAAGCCATCTGGTCCAGGGGATTTATTTGTTGGTAGCTTCTTGATAACCCTACCTATATCTCCTTTTGCTATGGGGTTATTGAGGTTCTTGACCTCTGTCTGAGATAATCTAGGGAGGGACGGTTTTTCTAAGTATTTATCCATGTCTTCCACATTTCTGAATTCATTAGAACACAGTCCTTCACAGTACTTTGCGATTATCCTTTTATCTCATTGGAGCCTGTTGTGGTTTCCCATTTCACCCTTCATCCTGGCTATTGTTGTTTGCACTTCCCTTTCCTTGGTTATGCTTTCCAGAGGTCTATCAATTCTGTTGATCCTTTCACAGAACCAGGTTTTTGCTGCATTAATCTTTTGTAGCATTTTCTTATCTTCTCACTGGTTTAACACTGTCCTGATTTTTATTATTTCTTTTCTTTTGCTATTGGAGGGATTGTTCTGTTGACTCTGTTCTAGTTTTTGGATGTTTTGTGACAAGGTATCAGTCATAAGCCTCTCTTTTTTCATATATGCATTTATTGTTATCAAGCTATCTCTGATAACCATCTTCACAGTATCCATTAACTTTTGATATGTTGTCTTCTTGTTCTTATTAGTTTCTAGTAACTTTCTAACCTCCTCTCTAATCAGGGCCTGTACCCGTTCATGTTGCAGAAGATCGTTGTTAATCCTCCAATTGTTTGTCTTTGCTTTTCTGGTCATCCTTTTATTAATCTCCAGCTGTATGATATGGTGACCTGAGAAAAACATCTGAATAATCTCTATGTGTTTGAATTTTCTCAGGCTTGATTTGTGTCCCAGCATGTGGTCTATTCTTGAAAATGAGCCATGTGGGCTTGAGAAGAATGTGAAATTCTTTGTGTTTGGATGGAAAACTCTATAAATGTTTATCAGGCCCAGTGGCCTATTGTTTAGTTCTATATCCTCTTTGATGAGCTACTTTACCAGTGATCTATCTTTCTCTGAGAGTGGAGTATTAAAGCCACCTACTGTGATTGTTGAATCTGTGATTTCTTTTCTCATTTTTTAATAGTTTGACAAAAATTTACTGCTCCATTGTTGGGAAATTTAAAATTCAACTGGTTCCTGGTTTACTGATCCTTTGAGCATTAAGGAGTGCCCTCCTTGTCTCTTTTTATGGTTTGAACCTTGAGGTCAATTTTGTCGGAGATTCGAATTGCCACCCCTGCTTTTTTTTCAAGTTGTTTTTGCCTGGTATACTTTCTGCTAGCCTTTTATTCTTAATTTATTATTTTCTATGCACTTAAGATGTGTCTCTTGCAGGCAACAGATTGTTGTGTTATGTTACCTGAGCCGGTCCTCAAGCCTTTTTCTTTTAATATATGAATTGAGGAAATTGGATATCAGAGTTAATTTCACGATCTGTGGATTTATTGCTGTCATATCATGTCTTGCGTTTTAGGTTAAGTATGGTTTATATAAAAGAAACAAAATCATCACAACTGGACTAATAAGGAACTCTATGAAATAACTATTATATTACTATTTTTATTAAGAAAAATGAGATAAGTAAAGACAAATCCCAACATAACAAGTCAATTCAATTGCAGTAAATATTAAATGAGACATTCATGTAAGGACAGAGAGGAAGAGATTATGCAAAAAGAATTCGAGAAAGTGAATTATTTTACCCTACAGTACACTTATGTTTTGGTTCCAGAGAAGAAGGAGAAAGGACAAGGCTTTTAATAATGCTGTCCTCTATGATTTTTGTGTTTTGGAATTGACTCCATGGCAGTGGACTTGGTTTTAAGAAAATTTATTGTGTATAAGTTACGTGGTAAAATAAATGCTTAGTGAAGTAGTAGGTAGATATTATTATAGAAATGGAGTCTTGGCGGTGTAGTCTGAATTGGACCACTAACCACAATGTCGACAGTTCAAAACTACCAGCAGCTCTGCAGGAGATGACTGGATAATCTACTCCTGCAAAAAGTTACAGTCTTGGAAAACCACAGGGTGTTGCTATAGGTCAAGTCAGTGTTGACTTTATGGTAGTGAATCAGAGTGAAAAGAGTTACAGTCTCTGAAACCATGGGGGCAGTTCTACTTTGCCTTGTAGCTTACAGTGAGTCAGAATTGAGTTTGTTTCTTGAGTTTACTAGCATAGCAGTCCTGGGTGGTCCAATAATTAAGTACTCATGAGCCAAAAAGTTGTGGTTCTAATCAAACAAGGGGCACCTCAGAAGACAAGTCTAGCAATCTGCTTCCAAAATATTATAGCCATGAAAACCCTTTGGATTAGTTCTACTTTGCACACAAGAGATTGCTGTGAGTCAGAATCAACTTGACCTCAAATAATAACAACATAATTATTATTTTCCAGTAATAGTTTTCGATTACAGTCAAACTCCAAACTCACTGCTATGTAATCAATGTGAACTCATAGCAACCCCCTGTGGGTTTCTGGCATTGTAACTGTTTACAGGAGTAGAATTGCCTCATCTTTCTACCACTTCAATAATAAGACACTTCCTAAATTAGTGAATACATCTAACTGTTGCTGTTTTTTATATTACTCTAATACCAGATTCCTGAGAGAAGTAAACCACGCTAGCATAAATCTTTTTAAATCCATGAAAAAAATGGGTCAAAGAGATGAAATAATTTGCCTGTTAACCAACTATAATTCAGTAAACTCTACACGATTTTTCAATCTTAGTCTTAGAAATTCAATAAGTAAATGTGAACAATTATAAGTCATCCTCAATATTGTAGCATGAATTGAGTACTAAATAATATCAATGCTCTAAAAATATTCAAGTTAATTCCAGGTATTTTCATCATGATGTGATACTTGGAGTTGACAACTTGGGTCACTTAAGTTTAAATCAGAAGGAGGAATGCATTTCAGGAACCTGTGTCAGGCTATGACTTTTACATCCCCTAGGTTCCTCAGTGTACTTACACTAGAGCATCATAAAAATAGAACATAATTTATATAGCACTCCAGTGTACACAATTGTTTTCTCATATGGATGCCATATTAGTTTGTTATGTTCCACAAAAACAGATATCTGATAGAAAGAAATGCAATCATCTATCAAATGTATCTACAAAGCTAACCAGACTAAAACGAGAGATGCATCTCATTGTAGTTCCTCTTGATGGAGCTACATCGTTACAATAGTTCCATAATGTGTTCACATGTTTTTGATGCTCAACAACTTATTCTAAGTCAATACATAAGAAGCTCTTCTCTTAATTTCTGTGATTTCCTTTTGTTTTTTAGCTAATTATCTCGTCAGAGATTTAATTGCAGAAATTCTACATTTTTATAGAAACGACAAGTTGTACCCTAATGATTATCTTCTAAATATATGTGGCACCGAAGAATTTTTACAAAAGTAAGTATTTCATTAAGTTGATTTAAAAAAATTATTGTTATACCTATATGTGTTAAATAGGACTCTTTTCTGTTTCATTGTTGTTATTTCCTGTGAAACAAGCCTTTTGCCACAGCATACTTTCATAACCAGAATAAGTAAATTATGCCTTTATTTTCAAAGTGAATTTTAATTCTTATGAATAGCATTCATAGTCTTATTGTTTGCATTGTGTTCATTTATGGCAATAGGCAGATGACTAGAGTGATCAACCATCTCCTTTAACCAGGATTTAGGAAATTCCCAGGACATGGGATTTTCCGTTTTGAAACTGAAAAGCCCCAAACAAACCATAGTAAGGTGGTCACCATACCTGTAGCAAAGCCCATTAGGATTGAGAAAAGAACTGTATTTATGATTTAGAGTAATATGAATGTGTTGGTTAAAATACTAAGTTTTAGAAATCCCTTGAGAATTAGTATGTTAGCATTACAATTCTTTAATAAAAGAGTAAGCTTTAACCCACCTTCATATTTTTGTTTGTAAGATAAATCAGGCATTGGATTAAATCAATTTTAAGAGCATTTTTTCATGTACATCATTTCCAAATATTTTTTTCATTGAATAATACACTTGCTTAATGTGACACTAAAACTAATATTCTGAAATTTCTTGTAGACCAGCCATGAAAATACAATATAATTTAAGAAATAAAATATGTCTCAGTTGAGATTGTACAGTTATTTGAAAAAGTAAAACATTAAAATCTAAAATGTTCATTAAGATGGATTTCCACATTTTCATTTTGCTTTTCTACAAGCTTATCGAAAGATTTACAACAGATTTGTAAGATTATAAATGTGTCTCCTTTGAGATTTCCATTGTCACTGTCACTGCTATTGCACTGTGGACATGCTTGGAAATATCTTGTGGATAATTAGGTGAACACGACCATATTCTTATCAGTAAATATGATGTTTTAATAAACAACGTGAACTGTGTTTGGCTTATACTATTGATTTGTTTCATTTTTGTGTTCCCATTTATAACAGAATGATAATATATACTTATATGAAATTACAGAAGCCTTGTGCACCAAGACATTTTGTGAACCAAGCCATTTCAAGTCTATTACTGCACTGAATAACTAGGCTGCTACAATCTTCCAACATCGGGGAAAATATCCAATGAGCAAAGGAAAACTACTTTAATAGATATAATGTCATAATGACTACTCATCACAGCTCATGCTCTAAATATGCAAATCTTCAAATGCACATCTGGACTTTAGTTGAAGCTAACATATTAGATTCAATGAGGGAGAATCATTATCAAATATTTACATTTAATTTTAGTAGTAGGATCATGCAGGAAGCAAGAGTGTCCAAGAACTGCATATGTTTAAAAGTGTAATAGAAAATTTGCTGTGGTCTTCGACTTTATCTGTTTCAAATAGGTAGATTATCCATAATTAGATGCCCTAAGTTTTGATCAAAAAAGTTTTGTACTGATTAATTATTTTTTTTTAATCTTGAAAATATGATTTCCACTAAGGAGAATGTGATATGTTTTGAAAGTGTTTTCATAATCATTTATTTTTATTAAAAATTCATCCCAAAGAATTTTATTAACATATAAAAAGTATTCATATAGTTTAATTACATCTTTTATTTTCTACAGGATATTGAAGGATTTATATTCCTCAAAGCTTTGTTTAATATTTAAAAGTAATAAGCTCCTGTATGTATATTATTTATTTTAATAAGATTAATATTTATCACTGAGTGTTCATTAATAACACTCTAGAGGATACATGGGCAACATATAACAATTTATAATGCAATACATCACAATCTGGGGTCAAAAGCATATACTATAATTCACCTAGTTAGATTGTAGAATAACAATAATGATCATTGCAATTTATTAAGCTCTAATTAATAATTTACTTCTTATTGAGTTTGCATCTAATTCCAAAACATGTCCATGAGGTAAGTGCTATAATATTCAGTGTTTCACACACGAGGAATCTGATTTGTGTGAAATCACAAAGTTAGAAAACCAGAAGGGTGGAACTAGCAGAGTGAAAGCCAGTGGAATTCAAATCCAAGTCTGATTACTTCCACGGCATCAGCTCTCTAACTACAAGTCACAAATTACACCAGCACTTGAGATGAGTACTGCTGTGTAGTGAGTTCCTTAATGATGGCTCTCCTACCCATGCCAATTTGGTGCACTTACTCTTTCCATGATAGGTCAGGCTCTGAGCAGATGGAAGAAATACTGGCGATTATATGATTCTGTTAGGAGTAGCTGTGTTAGTGAATTGTGTTTGTCGAAACTTGGAACTCTAACTTGGGGATTAGTCAATTTTGCCGTTTTACTGGGTAAAAAATGAGCCATTTCTGAAGAAAAAAAGGGTTAGAAGTCTCACAACCATTAAAAAAAAAGAGTAGGGATTGTTATATCCTCTGGGCTTTGAGATCCCTGAATACTGCAGCTTCTCTTTTATCCCAGAGAAACGGTATCATCATAAAATCTTCAGAGTAGTTAGTGGCAGAGGAGCTGCACCAGCGAGAACTCGGAGCCAGAGTACTAGACAGAATGGTGGGCTTCCAGGTCCACAGAGAGAATCAAGCTGAATGTTTTACGGTTGTTTTCTATTTAAGTCTTAGAGTATAGTATTGCATACTTTGGGCACTTATCAACAGGGTTTACAGAGCTTTGTAACATTTGCCTGAATAAGACCAAGGGCAAAGGACCATGTACTTGAGATATCAAATATCAAAGAAAAGCCTTCCTATGATCATGGCTGGGAATAGACACTCTGAATAAGAGTGTGTCTTGATCATTTCTGAAGCTGCATTGTAACCTGTCAACTCGCCTCCTCCATCACATATATGTGGAGCCCTGGTGGTGTAGGAGTTATGCCCTGGGCTATGATCTGCCAGGTAGGCAGTTTGAAACCAGCACCTGCTCCAAGGGAGAAAGACGGGGCTCCCCCCGCCCTGTAAGCAGTCTCAGAATTCCACAGGGACAGTTCTCTCTTGTCCTATAGGGTTGCTATGAGCCGGCCTTGACATCATGGCAGGGAGTTTAGTTTTGGTTGGGTGTGACTATGGTCTGTGAGTGCCGTGTGGCCACTGCAATAAATTATCGAATCCCGCAGTGAAGTAGAGAATGTCCTGGAGGGACAGTCGGTGTTACAATTGGTACAGAAGTGGGGAGGAGAGAGGCCCATCGGAACTTCAACTCGTATAAATAGGCCTTGGGCTGATGAGTTTTATTCTGCTTCACTTGTCGGCCCTATGCCATTCTTATTGGCACTAAAACCCAAAATCCAGCCTACAACACCACGTTAACTCTGACTCATAACAACCCTACAGGCCAGAGTAGCATTGTCTCATAGGGGCTTCCAGCCTGTAATCTTCACAGAAGCCCAATGCCACATCTTTATCCGGCAGAGTAGCTGGTGTGTTCAACCTGCCAATCTTTTGGTTAGCAACCAAGCACGTATCCACTCTGTCACCAGGGATAAGTACAGGAAATAACAGTTCTTCATGCTAAAGCATAGGGTGGAAAATATATACAGTTTTATGATGTCTGCAGGAATAAAGCTTTGGAAATCTTAATGGTTCAATTTAAAGCAATTGAATGTCATACATGCACAAGGCCTTTCGTTAAACACTGAGAAAACAGAGATGATTTATGTATACTCCTTGTTCTGTTAGGCCCAAGAAATTCATATAGTCAGGTAAATAGTTATTATCGTACCCTAGAACCCAAAGCCCACTGCAATTTGAGCCAATTCTAACTTATAGCAACCCAACAATGCACTAACAACTGCTTTGAGCTCACCGATAGGATCTCCTGAAGAGAAGGGTTAAGAGTGAGAATAAGAAAATCTCTTCAGCAAGTTAAAAATAGCTTTACTATATGACCCAGAAATTTCAATCAAAAATGAATTGAAAACAAATATTAAAAAAAAATTTTCCGTGAATGTTTATAACAGCTCTGTTCACGATAGCCCCAACATAGAAGCAATCCAAATACTTGCCAGCAAATGAATAAATAATATGTATCTTATTAATACACCAGAATATTATTCATCCATTAAAAATGATTAACCCATCGATACATGTTATAACATAATGAACCTTGAAAAGGCTATGCTAAGTGAAGTAAAGCAAACACCACATACCATTAGATCCCATTGATAGTAAATATCTAGAAAGGCTAAAGGAATGTGCAGAGAGAGCAAATTGGTAGTTGCCAGGGTGAGACATGGAGAGTACAGCAGAGTGAATGCTTAGTGAGTATGCTATGAGATTTTGTGTAGAGTAATGAAAAACTTGATCCAGAGAGGGGTAACAGTTGAACAACATTATGAATGCACTGAATGCTTGTACCAAAAATGGCAAGAAGGCAACATCTGACCTTCTCTGACTTCACTAGAGGCGAGGAGAATCACATCTGATATCAGCTCAAGGCTGATTGGTATGAGTTTGATCAGATAAAATAAACTTACACCCTCTAATTTTCTTTACCAAGGTTCACAGCAATCATCTCTCCTACAGCTCTCTCTACTTCTTTGCCAAGTTCAATAGTATACTGTAATGGCCACATAAACTCCCAGATTATAGGGTTTATTGGAATAGTTATCAGATTACAATAGGATCAGAAATGCTCAGGATATAGTTCTTGGGTCAGATTCATCACTATTCTACCATGCCCACAGGCATACCTCTCTGGTCCTTGGCCTCTCAGTCTTGTTCTTGATGATAGAGAAATTCCCCCATCTCCCCCCAGTTCTTACATGGCTCATTTTATACTTAGTAGGATGGTACAATTGACCAAGCCCTCACATTAGAGTTCCAGGTTTTTATAAGCACACTTGACCCTTCTAATAATCACTCACAGCTAAATTATATCATTCTACCAGCCTCTTAGTCCGCCTTCTCTTACCCAGACTCATCGGGAAAAGAGGAAATACACCTGGCTGCACAATCTCACCCAGTCGT